TTAACTTTTAAAATATCTCTTACTATAAACTTTGCAATCCTGGTTTATATATTTTTACATAGATCTTCATTTTTTCTTATAACAATGTACACCGAGTATTCTGACATTGTATGTGATAGTTTAAAAATTACTTTTCTAATCAATCATAGCAAATTGTAAATATTACAAATTCATCAGCACATGAGTCAGTGATTTTTTTCCCAGGTACATTTTCCCGCTTTTGTTCATGTTCAACTGGATCTGCCATTATATTTCCTAATTATTTTCGGTAGGTATTTTGAATCCTTTCTAACAGTGGCAAACTTACATAATTCGTCATGTTCAACAAATAATTTTGCCACTTACTATTCACCTCATATTTACACCATTAATGAATGCACAGAAAATTGGCTCTCATACTCATACCTACAAGTGTGTCACTATTAACCGCCTTCTATTATGAACCCAGTTTTATCTCACCACTTGATATCTTTAAAAGAGCAAAATGAAGTGAAGGGATGATCAATCCACCAAAAGCATTCACTTGATGCTTATTATGCACCTACACAGTGCTGGAAATCAGGAGGGCTTAAAAGTAGGTTCCATCCCTTGTTCTCTAAGAACTTAGCATCGAGTTTGGCAAACAGCTAGATGAAGCTCAATATTAAGACACTAAATAATTAATTGCTAAACTGTAGCTACAGCTTTAAATAATAAAGGATAATAGCTTATAATTGGGCAGAGAAAGTAGAGTCTCAGATGCACTTTCCCTAAATGTCTTATAATGGGTAGAAATGAAGTCACCATTGTAGACAATGAGAAGCAGCATGAGCAAAAGCACAGAGGGAGGAGATGTAAGGTCTTCAGCAGGATGACGGAAAGACCAAACACCCTTCTTGTGGGCAACCATGAGAGATCCATTTGAAAAGACAAGATGAGGTCATGGGACTCATTTGCTGATTTTCTTTTTTCAACAAATACACCCTGAGTTCCTAAAAAGCTTTGTCTAGACATCACAAAGCCATATAAAGGTGAGTATGGCAGATTTTCTGCCTAAGAAAGCAGTGCAGAGCTACGAGTGTGGGGGCATATGGAACCACAACGTAATAATGGTATCTTGGTGTAATTAGATATTAATAGTCTTGAATGTCAGGCTTTTAAAATGTTTGGACTAGACATGAAATGATTGAAGTGCCACTTCATGTCTTTTATAAGGGATCTTAGATTCTTTCTTTACAGCTTTGTTAGATTTCTGTTTTGTGTTGTTGTTGTTTGCTATTTTCTGATTTTTATTATACTTTACTGGTTTCAAAATAGACGTCTTCCCCTACAGTCTGTCCTATAAACTGCTGCCAAATTAATTATCTTAAAACATAACACTTATCTAAGGGACTCTTCTGTTGCAAATATTTTTGACAGGATAGACTCTGAACATCTTGGCTATGATTTCAAGGCCTCCCTATACTTTAATTCCAACTGACTTTACCTTCCATTATTTTTTCGTTCAACTGTATTTTCTGATCAAGTTAGTTTGCCTGCTGATTTCTCAGCAACACTTTCTTCTGTGACTCTTCACAAAAAATGCTTCCATCTGGGATGCACATCTTCTTCTGATAACGATTATGTGAATTCCTAGTTTCCTTTAGCCTCAGCCTAAAGACCCTTCTCCATCCCTCAGCTAGAAATAATTTCTCTATGCACTGAATTTCACACTCTCCACCACAAAGTTTGCGCTTATAATTCCTCATATTGAAGTTGGTATTACATGTCAGCTGGGTCATTTGGTTGCCTGGTAGGCTGATGGGGCCACATGCCCAGGTATTTGAAAAAGGAGAAGAGAATTTGGGAAATGTGGTAGTTTCCAGCAATGCTGCTAACTCTGGACTTATCAGGATGTTAGTTAAGTATCGAGACAAAACTTGCTTGAAAGGGTGTGATGTTGTTTGTCATCTACTCTCCGAGCCAAATAAAAGGGAGTCCCAACAGTGGACTGGAGCAAGGACATACTAATAAGGTGAGGAAAGCAAATATTAAAGTCAAACTCATTGTGTGTATGTGTGTGTGTGTGTGTGTATGTGTGCACACGCGCGAACATGCACACACATACCTGTGTATGTAGTGAGGAAAGCAAATATTAAAGTCAAACTCATTGTGTGTATGTGTGTGTGTGTGTGTATGTGTGCACACGCGCGAACATGCACACACATACCTGTGTATGTAGGTTTGATTTTGCTACATCTCGGTGAGAAGTTGGCATTTGAACAGAATAATCTAATTTATAATAGTGGGCCCTTGATCTCTGTGTCCAAGTGGACTGTATAATGAATTCAGCAATTTCCTCTTCCTCTCCATATAAAGGTAATTTCTAGTATGATGAAGTGATTAATATAGATGAGGGTTTTTGAGAACTAGAAATAATCAAGTTTTCTGCAAGGAATTCATCCCAGGCCAAACAGATTAAAATCATGACTCAAGTCATTCACAATAACCACATACCATTCCAGATTTCTAGTTGAGCAGAATGAGCAGGAAGATGCCCCTATTCTCCAACCTCCAAATTACTCGTCCTCAGCAGACTTGTAACCACCATCTTTAATTGCAGAAAAATTACCTCCTTGGTTTTATGCTCAAAACGTGTTCCAGCAATCTGAATAAATTTGAATTCTTACTCTTGCCAGCTGTATGACTTCAGGCAAATTTTCAAATCTCTCTGGGCTTCAGTTAACTCACAAGTAATGGGATAATTAATAATACTTACTTCATGAAAGTTGGTGCAGGATTAGTAGGTAGGTTGCCTTGGCATAGTAACTAAGTTGAAAGTTCTCAAAAATAACTCTTTTCTTCTTCCTTCCCCAGCCACCCACATAAATAAGGAAATTCAAAGAGACAGATGAAATGATATCAAAGTTCTAGCAAAATTATGAATTTATATTGTACTTTTTCTCTTAGAAAATACCAGATATGTACGATCTAATTTTTATGTTTGTTTTTAAGATTGAGAAGTGTTTTTCCAATTTATATCACATAATTACTGAGAAATCCGGGGCTAGACTGATGAATCTTCATTACTAGTTTATATTATTTCCAGAAAACAATTCTTCAACTAATGCTAATCATCACACATGTGTTCTCAGTATTTTTTCTCTCATTATTCTCTAGCTAGGGATAGTCAGATGAGCAGTTTCTTTATATTCAACAGATATTTTGAAGATAGTATTTTCTTTTTCTGAGTTTTCCAAAAAACATAGATTACTTCAGTTTTTCTTCATTGAGTGTCCTTATGTAGGGTGTACTTATCAATTAAAAGAGTTGAATAATTCTGAATACTAAGCAGATATATATATACATAGCTGTTTTAATATTTTAAAAATGTTTTGCAAATTAATTGAACATTTTTACCCTGAAATTTCTGAGTGTCTCAAGCAATTGTGGATATTAAATACCATATTTGGCCACAGTTTTCAGGGATGTTAGTAGTGATAATCAAGTAAACACATGAGATAATTTTAAAGCACTTTTCCTTATAGATAGACTCGAGACAGTGTTTTGGAAAAAAGCAAGTTCCCCCGAAGGCATTTTTTTCTATTTCTAAAACATGTTAAAAAAAAGTAATATATTGGGTAATTATTTATAGTTAAATATCCACAATAAATAAAATGTTAAAATTATCATTTATTCAGTTACATAACATAAAAATCACAAATAAGAAAAAAAATTTAAATGACAGTAAGTACCTCTGCTCAGGAAAACTTGTCACAATAATAACTAAATACGAGGCAAGCCTTGATTATATAATTTAAGTAGCACAGAAAAGTGTAACACGGAAAAGATACCTCCATCCATCCTCCTTATCCCCAAATTCTTTATCTCAAAGGTAACAATTATTCTTACTTATTCCTCAGGGATATATTTCTGAAAGAAGTGCATTTATTTGTAGATACAATCCTTTTGTATTTACACAAAAGATATGTTGAATAGTCTTTCAATCCTAGTAGCAAACATGACCTATTTTTTCAATTTGATAGATTTCTGGACCCACAAAAGAATGTCATGTCAGAAAATATGAATGCACTTTAGGTTCAGAGAGGTAGGAAGATAAGATTAGGAAGTAAATTAGTCAGCAGGAAACAGCAGTTACCCTGCTCTAGGGTAAACCCAGTTGCAACTTTTGGGAACCAGAGAAACTACTATCATGTTTGCTTTAAGAACTGACGACTCTAGTTAGCAGAAAAATAACTCTTTTCAAGAATCTCCCTTCTTTTACAGTTAATACAATTTGAATACACTGTGGCAAATTATTTTCATTCAGACAAACTTTTGCCGATTTCCCAGCCTGAGTTAAAACGTATTTCCTTACGGAGGTCATCTTCTTCCTCCCCTGTATGGACACTCCTTGGTATGCTCATGACATTTAGGCTCTTGTGGAAGTTATCATACTCTGCCCAGTATAAGGGTTTGGTCTATATAAGCTCAAATGAACAGTGACATTTTCCAGCAGTTTCATGTTTATAGTGTAGGTGCTAAATAATTGTAGTAGACTAAACATTAGTCTCTGTTAGTTGTAACTAAATTTCTAGATGATTCCTAATTGTTTTGTGCCTCATGATACACATTTCAAATGGCTGTTTTCTCTATATTTATTGATTGAATTAAACTAAGTTGAAAGTACAAGTATAAACTATCAACCAATGATATTTCAAGGGACAGAGCTAAATAATAATCTTTAGTTACAAGATTTTACTGAGACCTCAAATTCTACTAAGCCCCTTTCACGGTATTCCTCCCTATTTGGCTTCTTGGTCCTCTCTTATGAAATCATACTACACAGACACACACACACATATACACACACACATAGAGTTTTACATATTTGATCTTTTCTTACCGGGATGAAGACGTAGGCTCAGTGGTTTGCCTTTGCACACGTGCATGTTTAATCAAATGCTCTTTTAAAGCAGTTTGGACTTCTGCTGGGATATCAGGGGAAGTGTGGCTGATTTTTATTGCAGGTTCAATAACTTTTAGTGCTGGTTTTTCATTTTCTTTAACCTCTTTTTTCTCTTCAGTCTCAAAAACTTCAGTAGGAGCACTTGAAATGCTCTGTGGAAGGGTACTGACGTTGGAGGTCACAGGTTTGCTTTTCCAGCACGGCCAGCACAATTTCCAGAAGACAAAAAGCGAGACAACCAACAAGGCCAGGCCACAGAAACTTACAACCACTGCTAACAGGCTGACCGAAATATCTGGAAAAAATTACAATGTAAAGAAACATAAATTATAATATAAATGAATATTATACATATAAGGGCATAAATTTTGAAATCATTTTACTTTATAATTATTATTAATATTTTCTTGATTTAGAATTTCAAAAATCCACTTTAAGTTATCTTTGTAGGGAGGAAAGATGTCTGGAAATTCTCAAAGGAGATATTTGTAAAGTTCCATCCCAGGAAAAATTTCCAATTGCATACAGGAAAAGCATGAAGTATGCATATAATTTCTAAGTACACTACATGGGGTTGAAATTTTGCACATGAAACTTGATAATTTGCAACTTGCCATGAAGCCATAAAACCGAAGAAACTCCGAAACTGCACATAACAGGAAATGTTTATTTGCTTCTTCTTTGATCTAAAGATGCAAACTTCTCATTCTCTAAGCAGGAAATAATGTTAGTTATTTGTGTGAACTGCTTTCTATTCTATAAATGAGAACAACACATTACTAACAGAGAATAAGTAAACTATCAGCTATATTTTCAAACTCTGTAGGTCCTTTCTGATGACTCTTTATGCTTCTAATTTCTTAAGTCCTAAAGTATGTACTGAATCATGCTATGGTTTGAATATTTGTGTCCCCCACAAATTCACATGTCGAAATTCTAACCCCCCAGGATGATGGAATTAGGAAGTGGGACCTCTGAAGAGGTGAGTAGGTCATGAGGGTGGAATCTTCATAAATGGGATTAATGCCCTGATAAAATAGGCCCAAGGAGCTCTTTTGAGCTTTAACCAGCTGAGGACACAGAGAGAAGGCATCATCTATGAACCAGGAAGTGGGTCCTCACCAGACACCAAATCTGCCAGTGACTTTATCTTGGACTTACCAGTCTTCAGAGTAGAAGAAATAATTTCTGATCTTTATAAGCTACCTAGTTTATGATATTTTGTTACAGCAACCTGAATGGACTAATACAAATTGTTATTTAGGTATCTTTAAAATATTTTTATTTAGGTTACAATAGGTTTGTAATATAACTTGAAGTCAAGGTACGGTTATGCCTCTGCTTTCATGGTACTGGTATAAAAACAGACACTCAGACCAATGGGACAGAATACAGAACCCAGAAATGAACCCACATACTTACAGCCAACCAATCCTTGACAAAGGCAACAAGAACATACATTGCAGAAAAGACAACCTTTTCAATAAGTGGTGCTAGGAAAACCGGACATCCAAATGCAGAGGAATGAAACTAGACCTGTTCCCCTCGTCATATATGAAAATCAACTTAAAATGTATTAAAGACTTAAGTATAAGACCCAAAACCATAAAATTACTAAAAGAAAACATAAGGGAAACATTTCAGGAGGTAGGACTGGGCAAAGACTTTATGAAAAAGACCCCTAAAGCACAAACAACAAAAGAAAAAACAAATGGGATTATATCAAACTAAGAAGCTTCTGCACTGCAAAGGAAACAATCAACAGAGCAGAAAGACAATCTACAGAATGGGAGAAAATATTTGCAAACTATACATCTAGCATGGGATTAATATCCAGAATATATAATAACTCAAACAACTTCATAGTAAAAAAAACAAATAATCCAATTAAAAAATGGGCAAAGGAGCAGAATAGACATTTTTCAAAGGAAAACTACCAATGACCAACAGGTACAGGAAAAAATGGCCAATATCACTAAGCATCAGGGAAATGCAAATCCAAACCACACTGAGAGACTGGACATTGTTTAAAAGACTGAGAATAACAAATGCTGACAAGGATGTGAAGAAAGAGGAAACCATCTACACTGTTGGTGGGACTGTAAAATATTATAGTCATTACGGAAAACAGTATGGAGATTCCTCAAACAACTACAGATGGAACTGCCATATGATCCAGCAATCCCACTGCTGGGTATATACCCAAAGGAATGGAAATCACCATTTTGAAGGGATACCTGCACTCCCATTTTCATCACAGCTCTGTTCACAATAGACAAGTTATGGAACCAACCTAAATGTCCATCTACAGATGACTGGGTAAGGAGAATGTGGTATGGAATGCTACTCAGCATAAAAAAGAATGAAATTCTGCCATTTGCAGCAACATGGATGAGTCTGGAGAAAATTATGTTAAGTGAAATAAGCCAGACACAGAAAGAAAAATACCATGTCATCACTCATAAATGGGTGCTAAGAAATAAGGAAGGAAGGAAGGAAGGAAGGAAGGAAGGAAGGAAGGAAGGAAAGAAAGAAAGAAAGAAAGAAAGAAAGAAAGAAAGAAAGAAAGAAAGAAAGAAAGAAAGAAAGAAAGAAAGGTGTGGCCTGTGCATAGTTAGTTTTTGTTAGTTTTTCTTATTTTTTCCAAATATTTCCAAAGTTATGCTCCACCTCCCTGAGAGTGGACGATCTACCAATAATACATCGAATTTTCAGAAGGAAAGAATGAATTTACATTTACTAGAGGTGGGGGGGAGGTTGGGAAGATACTGGGTAAAGGACACAAAGAATAATTACAATTTGTTATAATGAATATGCAAGTAATATTGATTTAATCATTACATGTTGCACACAGGTAATGGCAGTCATTGCTATACCCCCAAATATGTATAATCAGTCATGTTTCAATAAAAAAGAATTAAAAATATTCTTATTTAAAAATAATTACAATATTAATATATGCTCATTATATAAAATGATTCAAAGGAATATGGTTAAAAAGTTAATAAGACTGAGTAAAAAATAAGTGGGGGAGAAGCAGCATATATCTCATGCAGAAGAATCCCGAACAATGTATGTAGATCGTCCACTCTCAGGGAGGTGGAGCATAACTTTGGAAATATTTGGAAAAAATAAGAAAAACTAACAAAAACTAACTATGCACAGGCCACACTTAACATAATTTCTTTCTTTCTTTCTTTTTTTTTTTTTTTACTGGTAAGGGGATCGCAACCCTCGGCTCAGTGTTGCCTGCACCACGCTCAGCCAGTGAGCGCACCGGCCATCCCTATAGAGGATCCGAACCCGTGGCCTCGGTGCTACCAGTGCTGCACTCTCCTGGGTGAGCCACAGGGCCGGCCCTTAACATAATTTCTTAAGTGCAGGCTGTGCATATGCATGGTGACTTCCTTCCAGAGAGTACTGTGGGGAAGGTAGTAACTTCACAGTGGAAAAACCTGATGAACACTAACCTTATTCAGCTGATCAAGGTTAACATTGACAGTGATGAACCATGCTCACAGCATGTACCCTTGATAAGATGTGATGAAAATGGCACTTTACCTCTGTGGTCTTCCTCCTCCAAACCCATGACCTAAGTCTAATCATGAAAAAAGTACCAGACAAATTCCGAGAAGGGCATTCTACAAAATACCTAATCAGTATTCCTCAAAACTGTCAAGGTCATAAGGAAAGTTGGAGAAACTATCACAGCCAAGAAGCATATAAGGAGACATATGACAACTAAATACAATGTGGTAACTTGAATGGGATCCTGGAACAGAAAAAGGACATTAGGCAAAAACTAGGGAAATGTGAATGAAGTGTGGACTTTAGTTAATCATGTATCAATACTGGTTTATTAATTGTAACAAATGTATCACACTAGTGTACGATGTTAAGAATAGGAGAAATTGGGGATGGGGTTTATGGGAATTCTGTACTATTTTACTAATTTTTCTATATATATCTAAAACTGTTCTAAAAAGTAAAGGCTATTTAAAAAACAATTAATAATATCTCCCTACCCACTTCCATTTTCCTTCTAAGATAACCAGTGTTAACAATCTGATATTATAGCATTCTTAAAGTTTTGAAGACCAAATGGATTTCCTGTAAAGTACAATTTTTCTGGATTTGAATAACGTTATAATTTTCTTTTACAAACTTTGTTTACCTTCGACATCAAATACAAATTCAATTTATTTTGTTTGTTTTAATAAAAATGTTAGAAATATGTTATGGGCTGAATTGTGTCCTCTCCACCTCTCTAAATTCACTTCTTAAAGTCCTAACCCCCAATTCTTCAGAATGTGATTGTATTTGGAGACAGGGCCTTTAAATTGTTAGTTAAGGTAAAAGGAGGTCATATGGGTTGGCTGTAATCCAATGAAACTGGTGTCCTTATAAGAAGAGGAGATAGGGACACATACACAGAGGGAAAACCATGTGCAGACACAGGGAGAAGGTGGCCATCTACAAGCCAAGGAGAGAGGCCTCAGAAAAATTCATGTGAGGAAGTAAGTTTCTAATGTTTAAGCCATCCAGTCTGTGATACTTTGTTATGACAGCCCTAGCAAACTAATACAGAATAACTCAAATTTCTTTTAACCACCACTCTAAATCCAGGAGGTCCCACCCCTTCCCAGAAGTAACCACTGATACCAGCTTAGTGTATATCTGTCTAGCCCCAGCACTAATAAACAAAAATATACTTATAAAACCATAAACATATACAACTATATAATACACTTTTTTCCTACATAAATGGCATACTGCATATTTCTTCCTTCAATTCACTTTATTTTTTATTCAACAATATTTGAGGTCCAATTTCATGTCACATAGCATTTCATAACACTTCATCATGATGGATATTCAGATTATGCCCAATGTTTGCTACTTCAACACAGCTGCAATGGACATCCTTGCACCTTTCTCTTTGTGCATATATTTGTGACTGTTTCTCTAAAGTAAATATCGAAAAATAGAATTGCTGGGTCATAGGTTGTGCACATGTTTAGTTTCTCCAGATATTTCCAAAATGAATCTCAGAGTTGCTGTAATAAAAACATCACATGAGTTTACCAGTTCCTACAATCTCAGAGAAATATTGTTGTACTTTAATTTTCACTGATCTTATGGGGAAATGAAACCTTGTTTTTTAATTTATATTTTTGTGATTGGTAAGATAAAATGGTTTCATTTAAACCCCCAAATTTGTAGTTAATGGAAATTCATTTGGAAATTGAAATAATTCCAAGTGTTTATTGCTACTTAATTATAAGAATAAAAATT